CCTCTCTCTCCTCCTTCTCTCCTCCTTCCTTCCTCCTCCTCTCCTCCTACCTACCTCCTACCTCCTCCCTCCCTCCCTCCCTCCCTCCCTCCCTCCATTCCTCCTCAACAAAGGCATCGCTTCAGACTGACACTTTGTCATAGAACGCAATGGTGAGCCAGGTGTTCGATGACTGGGTGCAGTCGCACAGTCACAACGTGGTCCGGGCCAACAAGCTAATGGGCCTGATGAGCCGGTGGGATCAGCGAACGTTGTTCCATGCCTTCCAAGCCTGTGGCGCTTTCACAGGATGGAGCAAAAAGGTTCGTGATGTGATCTCAATGGGGACTGAACGCAGAAGCAACGAGCGGGGAAGACTCGCTCTCTCCCTGTGGTCGAGCTACAGCTCAAACCAGCGACGCCTCTTCACTCATGCAAGGCAGCTGGCGGCCAGAGTGACGGCGCGAAAAACCATCAGACTGTTTGCAGTTTGGCACAAGTTTGCAAGAGAGAGCAAGAAGTTGGAGGTGTCGTTGAGCAGAGCTCAACTGCGACACGAGAAGAGAATGTTGCTTGCTTGCTTTCAGGTCTGGGTAGAAATCACTTCAGACACCAGTGTCAAAGCGCTTGCTATCAGCAGAAAAGATGCCAAGTACTTGTACCAACTCAGCCAAAGCATGTTCCAGTATTGGTGCTTTGTGACCGAAGAGGTCAAATCAAACCTGAAAAAGAACGCAAAGGCATATTCATACTTCGAACAAAACTCTTACTTCAAGTTCTTTGAAAGATGGCTGCAATCGTACCATTGGTACATCAAGATCAAACATTTGAAACTCCGTGTCCAATCGTCTCGCATCTTTCATGTTACGGACGATCACTTCTCAGAGTGGCTCAACATCACGCTCAGGAAAAGGGCACTTGCAATTCATCAGTCCGCCGTTGCAAAGAAGAACAAGAAGGCGCTGTTTCAAGACAGCTTTCAGACTTGGTTCGCAGAGAAATGCAGACTGCGCAAATGTCGGAATGGGTTGATTAACCTCTCTGAGAGGATGATGACGAACAGCAAGAAGTTTCACTTCGATGAATGGACACTGGACACCTCCATGATCGCAAGGCACAGCAGACTGTCTGCCATCCGCTTTGAGAAGTACTGCGAGGGAATAGTCTCCGATGTGTTCGATGAATGGAAAGCCGTGATGAGATGTATTGTGGCGCAATCCAAAGGTGTCGAGAGGATAAGTGCGAGGTACGCACACAAAGTCCTCCGTGCGTTCCTCGTCAGCTGGACGTTGTTTGTGGACGACAGTTCCTCAGACAAGTCAAAAGTCTCCAAGTGCGACAGGAAGAGGTTGTTCAGGAGCTGCAGGAACGTCCTGATCGGCTGGATGGAGCAAGCGCGATGCCTGCGCGTCAACTGGCAGAAGTGCATAGCGATGAGCAACAGGCTGGAACGAAAGCGCCTGAGGTCCAACTTCGTCATCTGGAGCGAGTATACCCGGCAGACCATCGACCAGGTGCAGTCGATCGAGAAGTTCATCCTGCGACAGTCCAACGGCATGTTCAACTTGTACATGCAAGAATGGTTCGATGCTGTCAACACGTGGAAGCAGCTGCGCAGCAAGGTCGCGCTGTATCAGCGCCGAGCTGACGCAGGGAGGAAGCACAAGGTGCTGCTCCTGTTGTGGAGCCTCGTCGTCGACAGCCGAAATGTCCGCAAGGTGGAGGAGCGAAGGAAGAGAGGAGCCCTGTCCCTCGCCGCGTCCTCGTGGGGTCAGACGGCAAGGAGCCTCGAGCATTGTCGCAAGGGGGTAGAGAAGATGATTCTGCGCCATGAGCGACGGCTCTTCCTCTGCTGCTTCGACGGATGGTGAGAACTTGGCATGCTTCGATGTTGTCAGTGACTCGTGAGGCAGGCGCGACGAGCTGGCCTACCTGAAGAGCGCCTACAGCCGCGCACAGACGGTGCAGACGAGGACGATGACGACGAGGGCGGGGCAGGCAGTGCGGCAGCTGGTGGACCATGCGAGGAAACAGAGGCGGCACAGGAGAATGCTCGTGACCCACTCCCGTCGGTGGTACCTGATCCGCCTCAAGAACTCGTTCGAGTCCTGGCACCACTGGCACGGCAAGAAGATGGCAGTTAAGGTGAAGTCCCTGTAATGCTGTGGAAGCTCAACACCCCTCCTCCTGTTCTCGTCCTCCTCTTCTTGCTCTTCCCCCGCCCCCTCCTCTTGTTTTCTTGCTGGCTACCTCGACCTGCTCTTCCTCTACCTCCTCCTGCTCTTCCTCTACCTCCTCCTGCTCTTCCTCTACCCCTCTCGATCGTTGGATCTCTCCAGTCCTCTTACGATATTCTCCATAACTCTCCCTGGCTCCTCATCTCCTCACTCGTTTCCCAGGGCGTGCTTGACCAAGTTGTCGACATGATGTAAGCACCTCCTACCACAAACATCTCCGAATCCTCCCCATCCTCCTGCTCCTTCTCTTCCCTTTCCTCTCCCTCGTCTTAGTTCTTCCTCCTCGTCCCCCTCTTCATCGACAGTTGCCGGGCAATCAGCATTCTCTTGCTTTCAGTCATAGCTCCTACGTATATTTACATCGCTCTGCTGCATTTCTCTCGAATATTTTACACTCTCCTCCTCGCCTGCACCTTTCAAGCTCTGGCGGGCTCGAAAGTAGTCACCTGCGAAAGATCAGAAGAGGCAGAAGAAGACGCACGGGGAGAAGGAGAGGACGAGGAGGACGAGGAAGAGGACGAGGACGAGGATGAGGACGAGGAAGAGGACGAGGACGAGGACGAGGACGAGGACGAGGACGAGGAAAGCCTCACTTGGAACTGCTTCCTGTCCTCGTAGTCGTTGAGAGGAAGTCCCTGGCAGGAAGTAAGCGGAAATCGTCGGGGCAAACAACTTGTCTTACTCCATTCCAAGCATCTCGTTCCTTGTTCCAGTTGCTATCACATGCTGTCATGAACACTGCAAGCAATCTCCCCAGCTCCATTCCCATTCTGTTTCCCATTTTCTGTCCCTCCCTCCCTCCTTCCCTCCCTCCCTCCCTTCTCCTGTCTCTTCCTTGTTCTTGTGATCATCTTCGAGTTACCTGCTAGTCAAGTCCACGTCTCCTTTCGTCCTGCCATGGCACGTCAGCAACTGTTGACGATTGAGGATGAAGGAAACACGCCAGAG